TCATTAACTGAATTCATTTTCACTACGAAGAGTGTAGTGCTTAACACGCAACCCTGCGGCACACCATTCTCTTGGACAAAAACACGCGATAGTGTGGAGCCCAACCGTACCTGAAAGTTTCGGTTTGATAGAAAGTCAGAGAGGCAGTTAAGCACTCTTCCGCGTATTCCGAGATTCGCCAGGTCTCTCAGTATACCGTACCTTCACGTAGTGTCGTAGGCCTTCTTCAAGTCAAAAAAACACTGCTAGGCAGTGTTACCGATGTAAGAAGGCCTCATGTACTGTGTGTTCAAGACGGACAAGATGATCTATGGTTGAATGGTCTTTCTTATACCCACACTGATGATCATCTAGTAAGTTGTCTATTTCAAGGGTGTATGTTAGTCTTATGTTTATTATGCTTTCGTATGATTTTGCCATACAGCTTGTAAGTGCTATGGGCCTATAGCTACCCGGTGAAGTGGGTGCCACACCAGTCCCGTTAATTCGGGAGGCAATCGCCGGGCTAATTCCAAGGGTCGAAGTATCGGCCCCCCGAACCGCACCACGAAAGCGTGGACAATTTAGAAGTGGTCCTTTTTGGCGCGCCAGCGGACGCCGGCTGTGGTCCAAAGAACAAGTCAGAGCCGAGAGTTGATAAACAAACAAAATTATATTCTCGTTAACGGCAGATCAAAAACAATACACACGTATGCACACTCCAGAATAGTACATACAAGACGTCACCGAACAAACAACGTACTACACAGTACAATCAACCACACTTGAAACAACAGACACAGACAACAATACGCACTACAATGCAGTCGCATGCATTGAACAACCAAGACACTTAAAGACTAAAGAGATATAAAACCTATTCAGTCCAAAGTCCTTGGAACAAAAGTCTGAATGATACTCTTCCGAGAATCACTCACTCAAAGTCCAGCGTTGTTGTCGTTCCGCGCCCTCGAAGTTTCTCTTCCAGGAAACCTCGCGTCTTCAATTGGCCACTCTCCAAGCTCCCAACTTCTTCGCCCGAACACGTCGGCTTCACTCACGCAACTGTTGCCACGCGTCCTCGCTCGATAGCGGTAAACACACACTCTTGCCTGTAGCTCGAGCCTTCACCCCTCAGGTGGAAATCCTCTTCATCTCCTGCTTCGTCCCTACGGGCCAAACCTTCGCCGACCACACGGCGGTATACCCTACGCGCTCTGGCATAAACTTACGTCTTCTCCTGCTCTCTCGTCTCGGCCGCTCGATTAAATACCTTCCGCGCCACATTCTAGAAAGTTCTTGTCATTTTGTCGGCGCGATACGCAGCGAAGGCTGGGGAGAGGCGCGAGACTGTACGGGGGCCGTCCCCGACAGATGAGTCAACCCGGCATACACGCCCATTTCCTTCTGGAACGTTCCAGTGCTTGCCCGGCCGCCGCTGTGGGGTGAGGAGGTTCATCGGCGAAGCCACGCTTCCGAGAGGAGAGGCGTCGCGCGCCCGGGGAGCCTTGGATGCTTGTTTTCTCTTTTCTTTTTTTTTTTCGTTGACCTCGCCGCGTCTCTCTGGGCGCGTTATCGCAAGCATTTGGCGGCGCGCCCGTTTTTAGCGCTCGTTCTGTGACAGTGGGTGGTTTTCCAGTCTTTAGAAATGGCACTATGGTTGCCATTTTCCATTTTGTGGGCATTCTGCCAGTTTTCCAAATCACGTTAAAGAACTTCAATAATGCTTGCACGGCAGCTTGAGACAGGTACGCGAGCATTGTGTAATGAATTCTGTCTGGCCCGACTGCTGTCTTTTTTCTCGCCGAAAGCACAGTGCTTAACATTTGGAGTGTCAAGGGAGCATTGTACGGCTCATCTAGGCCACCGGTTACTGGTAGTTTTTGTTTTTTGTTTATCTGTTTGTATGCCAGGAAGGATGGCGTGTAATTAGCGGAACTAGATATAGTGTAAAAGTGTTCGCCTAAAATGTTCGCCTGCTCCTCCAGAGATGTCTGTGTGCCTGGGTCTGTAAGTATGGGTATTGCATATGAGGAGTAGTCGCCGCTGAATTTTCTAACCTGGTTCCACATTTTCTTGGATGTGGTTGTGCTATTGATTGTAGATATGTACTTCTGCCAGGATGATTTTTCTGCCTCTATGAATATATCGTGCTTTTGCTTTAGCTTGTTTGAACGCGAGAAGGTTGTCACATGTGGGGTACCTACGGAAGTTGCACCATGCTTTATTCTGTAGTTTTTTGGCTTTTGCACACTCACTCGTCCACCATGGCTTTAGCTTCCTTCCCACTAGTCCTGAAGACTGGGGAATAGCTTGCTCTGCTGCAGACAGTATGCAATCGGTGAACTTGTCATTTATTTCATCTACTGTTAGGTGTTCAGAGAACTCAGCCTGTAGATTAGCTCTCTGTGTAAACAAAGGGCAGTTAGCTTTGTGAAGCTTCCAACACCGTGGTCGAGAGCGTATGGTCGGAAGTGGCGATGTTAGTTTTACAATCGACGGTAGATGGTCACTACCATAAGGGTTGTTTATTGTTTCCCATGTAAAATCTGCAAACAGTAAGCTAGAGCACAGTGCCAAATCCAAGTAACTTATGGTTCTTGTGCCTGGAGAACAGTATGTTGGTGATCCAGTGTTTAAAAGACACACATTGTTAGTAAGAATAAAATCTTCAATTACCTGCCCTCTACTGTCTGTCTTTACACTACCCCATAGTATGTTATGCACACTGAAATCTCCTGCCATTAAAAAAGGTTTAGGTAGCTGTTCTGCGATCAATTCTAGATCTTTTACAGTAAAATGTGTATGAGGTGGAATGTATATGGAACAAATAGTGATAGTTTTATGTGATAAAATGGTGACTGCAGCCGTTTCAATGAAACTTAACTATAACTTCTCTTACTGCTATACCTCATTGGACAACAATGGCGATGCCGCCCGACAGCCGGTTGCTTTGCGAGCGGTCGTGGCATATAACAGTGTAACCTTTTAGTATTTTCGCATTCTTTGGTCCCAGATTCGTTTCCTGCAAGCATAATGCTACAGGAGAGAAGCTTGTAAATATGTCCTTAATGTCACTTAAGTTTCATGTCATGCCTCTGCAGTTCCAATGGATGATGTATGCCATTACGTGAAATGATGTGTATAAAATTTAATATTTTGAGTTAGTTGTGCATAAGCTAAAAAGCGACACTATTCGTGTGCTTCGTCACTTCTTTTTTTGTGGGGCCGAAAGTGTGTTTCGGCTCCCTTTTCCTCCATTGCAGGGAGAGATGATGGGCTGCCTGATCGCCCTTCTAGTTGAAGCAGGGTCTGTCAGGCTTTCAGTGTCCGATGGACTCACGTCCATGGACTCAGCACCACCAGGGTGCTCAACAGTGTTGGTGCCCGGCGAGAATGCTGGCCTCCTCAAGGGAGGCTGGCTACTCGGCACCGTTGTTGAGACCTCTTTTGTTTCGACATTAGGTTGGCTGGCACCAACATTGGTCGAGGCTTTGGGGCATCCCTGAAAAAAGGCACTTGGTGCCTTTTTTTCGCTCTTGTCGGGTGAACGGACCGTGGCCACTAGGTCCTGGAGTTCGACCTGTGTGCCTACGGAGACCGTCAGCGGTGCCTTCCCCCTTCGCACCGCTTCAGCGTAAGTGCCCTTTTGGGCAAGAACCACTCGCTTGCGCGCTTCTGGATATGGTATGTTTTTTTTTTGGTTTTCAGTGTAAGTATGTCTTTTTCTTTTTGCCATTCTGGGCAGGAGCGTGAGTACGCTACATGGGGCCCCTTGCAGTTCACACAGTTTAAAGCGTTCGTGCACTCGCCCTCTTCATGTTCATTCTGGCCGCATTTCATGCAGGTTGGATTACCACGACATGAATGAGACCCGTGCCCGAACCTCTGGCACCGGAAGCACCTGTGAAGATTAGGTATGTAGGGCCTCACACGTAGGTAAAGATACGCTACCTTAACTGCAGCAGGAAGCGTCGTGCTCGCGAAGGTTAGTATGACATTCCTTGTGCGGGTTTCCTTCTTGTCTTTACGGATGATGATTGCTCGTGCGGCAAGTACACCTTGATCCGCTAAAGAATCCTCAATTTCTGCGTCGGTGCACTTGAGCAGTTCATTGTCCGATATTACACCTCGCGTGTAATTGAGAGATCGGTGAGCTCTTACACGGACTTCATGTTGTCCTATTTTTCCAAGGTGTCTAATTTTGTCACTTTGTTCTTTGTTTTTCACTTCTATGAGGAGATCTCCTGAATTCATTTTTTGCACTGTAATTGCTTCCATGCATTCTTTTATTGCTTTTGCAATCGGGAATGGTGATATGTCCTGAATCTTAGTTTCAGTTAATGACGTTACAACAAAGAATTTAGTGTAATCGCTCTCTTTAGTAAGAAAGTTTCTATTTGCTTCGGTGCGACCCCTTTTACAAGACCGATCATTGTGGAAAGGCGGGGCATTTTTTTTTCATAGAAAAGCGTGTTCATTTGGTAGCAATGCTGGCCCCCCACCATGGAGTCCAACAAGGGGAACGTATACACACGTTAGCCATACATTGCTACTATAACCCTGTGGTCCTGACCAAGGGAGGTCAGTCCCCCACGGTAAACAATAGCCGCCAAGAAATTTGGAAGTAAATGAAAAAGAGAAGACGACAGGACAGGTAAGAAGTGAGCGATAAAGACGAAGATGTAGGGAGAGAGAAATAGGAAAAGGCGACTGCCAATTTCCCCTGGGTGGGTCAGCCCAGGCATGCCGTCTATGTGAAGCCGGGGCCAAAGGGATGTGTTGCCTCTGCCAGGGGGCCTTAATGGTGCAATCACCCAGCGACAGCTCAACCCCCAGGATCCCCTTTTCCCCAGACACGGCAAAGCCACGCACGGCTAGGCGTGGGAGGGAGCCAAAACTACCCCGTTAGCTCGGGTCCGTGGTGTCGCTACACACCAAACGCCTACTTGCGCAGGCGCCCCTGCGGGGTCAAGCGTTGGAATAGACAGGGGCAATGGACTCTAAAAAGTTCAACTCACCATTTGTTTTTGATGTGCCTAAACAGTGTCCAATGGCTCCTGTTTGATGGTCACTCCTCCAGGAAGGCTGGGCTCAGAAGCCGCAGCTATGGCAGCCAGTCGTGGCTGAAGGCACAGCTGTCGAAAAGCTGCATAGCTCAAGTAGGGGTCACTGTCAAGCCGCTCAGTTTCGTCAGTCGCGCTGCGTGACACCTCAAAACGCACCCATCTGCCAAGAAGAACATTTTGCAATTAAAAAATAAGGAGCAGCATTACATGCTGGGGTCCTATGCGAATTTCCAATACTAATTATAACCTGCCCTCGCTCTGTACAAATCCCAGGCAAAAGAAACCCAATCAAATGCACCACATACTCTCACATTTACCTTCTATGGATCATATATGTAACAACAAAGCACAAGTTCACCAATGCATTGTCGCTGAAAGAAGTTTAGTACCTCAGGCATAAATTCTTACAAATCAATATATAAGCGTGAAATTTTCAATAACTCATCTCAACGCACTGGATGCTTTGTTGCTAGAAAGTTAAAGCGGTAGGATGTTGCTCGGCACATCTTCTAACAAGCCGTGATAATTATGAAGCAGTGAAATATGTATTCCTCAATTCAATTTTATTTCAGGTATTGTCTGAGGACAGCGAACTGGGAGCGTGGGGGAACACACATAAGAAGTAAAGAAGCCCACAGCACGAGCGCTCTAATGAAGAACCAACTAGCCCACCTTTCTATCCTATTGCCTGAGTAGACAGACAAGAAACAAGGCTGTTTTGACAAGGCTTGCGGTGGCCTCTGCTCCATTATGCAGCCAGTCACACCGTATTTTGGCATACAAAGAATTTAATCACTGACTCAAATACTTGCACAATTTACTTAGTGACAGTGACCATTATGGAGAATGAAAAACTTTTTTTTTTTTTTGGCCACATTGAGCACCATAGCAAACCTGGTTGCTTTCAACTGAAGTTATCACTTTGAATAATACGCACGAGACTGCCAATCAAATAAATGCATACTGACTGTGGAAGGGGTTGAGTCCACCCACAGCTCAACGTCTGTTGCTTTATCTTTGCCATTACCAGTCACAACTGGCAAAAACAAACTGCGTACACAAATGTACACGTTTGAAGGGGTTAAAAGTGCATCTAAAGTAATTAGACTGAGAATTTTCAATAAATGAAGCTTATTATATTTAATCAAAACAAATAATTTTTTATGTACAACAGTTCCAAGCATGCCGTGCAGACAGCCTTCAGCATAAAAAATTAGCGCAAGCCAAAATAGAAGATAAGATAAAATGTGACATGTCGTGCACAAGGTGGTATGCTTCAGGCAAGAAGCAAACGCACACGTAGACTCAAAGAAATCGCCTGAAACACTGGTGTTCATATACTCATGCTGCTGCCAGGAGTCATTATCATTCATGATTGATGACATGATAACGTTTACGGCATCATAGAATAACCTGCCACAGTGAAAGCACACACAAAAGCGTTTCTGTCAGGCAACAAGTTGACACACTGAAGAGCATAAGGCAACTTCACCTGAAAAGCACTGTTGGAGAGAAACGAGTTACAAAACAGACAACCCTAGTCTCCACTGCTCTGTTCTTGGAAACTTCAGGGCTACACCCCATCGCTTTTAAAACCAAACAATTATCTCTGGTGCCTGTCGTTGCCACTGTCCCATTGAAGAAAGAGCCTGCTTTGTCTTTCATAACTTTGCCTCCTCAATGAGATGAGGGAGATAATGTGGTAGGGTACGTAAATTCAGGGACAACTTTCTGTGGCAGTGAAATCAAGGCTACAGAGCCAAAGCACGCCGTTTTGATAGTTTCACTGTGCAGCTGGAAGAAGTCCAACAAAAAAAAATAGTTTGTTATGTGTAACCAAAGCATATTAAAAATTACAATTTTTATTTTATAGCCTCAAATTTATGCCAATAAATTGTTAGCCAGATTATGTGGAACAGTATCATTTTTTAGAACTTTGGGTTTTGTTTGGTTGTGGCGTTCTTCATTGGCATCCGAAGGCTCCCTACATTTGATAATAATAATAAAAAAAGGCCTCTTTGTTGGCATTGCCATTTTCCTATGGTAGCTCACCACTTAATGCCGCATAGCATTTTCAAGAAGCTTGATTAATTGATTGATATGCGAGGTTTAACATTCCAAAACCACCATATGATTATGAGAGACGCTGTAGTGGGGGGCTCTGGAAATTTCGACCATCTGGGTTCTTTAACGTGCACCCAAATCTGAGCACACGGGCATACAGCATTTTCATCACCAACAAAAATGCAGCCGCCGCAGCCGGGATTCAATCCTGCAACCTGTGGGTCAGCAGCCGAGTACCTTAGCCACTAGACCACCGTGGAGGGGCATTTTTCAAGAAGTTTGAGAACCAAAAAGTGTCAAAACAAATGAAGCAAGTCGTCTGCAACCCCTGTCCCCAAGCGAGACTGACACAATCAGAACTCTGTGGTTTCCACATTTTGTTCACCTAGCCAGCTCATTGGCGTAAGCGAGCATACTGTTGCATGGCTCAAGGTGGGAGGTTCTGAGTGGTACCATGGTTAGAAGCAAATAAAGCATAGGAAAGAGCTACCAATATGCCCGAATACTCAGTGATTGTGGTTTAAGCACTCAACAACAAAAAACGTGCGAAAAAATGAACTGAAGAAAATGCATATCTGTCCCACTGAAACTGAAACCAAAAGCAGTTTATCATTACTATTGTGGCACAGTAACACAGAGCATTTAGCTCTAGCATAGCATTTGCTCCATTGCCACAGAACATCATCCCCAAGTATAACTATGTCGCAAACACAGGGTGGCTTGCAAATAAAGGTGTGATCACCAAATTGGCTAACAATCTTTAAAATTCATTTCCAAAAAAACTAATGACATAAGGCCATATAGTATGGCACATATCAGTGTACCAAAAGAATGCATGTTGAAAATTTTATTGAAATCGGTAAATATTGGCAAATTACTGGAGTTCCCCTTCAACAAGCCCTGCTAAGTATCTATTAAATGCTCCATGAAAATTTCTGAATTAAATTTGAATAACTAGTTACATGAATCATTGTCCCAGATCAAGAAGCATAGACAGGTCAGCAGCAGACAAACAACCGAAGATGATGTTCCACGATACAATGTTATTTCATTTCAACCAAAAAAAACATGGCAGCAGGCTAGTTGGTTAAAGAAAATATTTTGTTTGGATAAAACTACAAAATTATCACGGACATAGGAAGAAAAAGACATGCACAGAACACTGCACTGTCCTCCATGCATGTTTTTTTTTTTCTTTCTTGCTGTGGTTCTGTTGTGAAGTTTCTACAGTTTTGCAAAGAGGAAGCTAATCTTTTCAATTCATTTATTTTCAAAACATATTTTGATTTAAAAAAATATACATTATGGTTCCTGGCTAAACACAATGGAAACTTCGACATAGGGCACCCATGCAGCACTGAACGTTTGATCAATGAGTTATGCACATATGCTTTAAATCAATCGTTCGTTCTTTTTTACCATGTCCATTTTGTACACCAACCATAATAAATTAGGCATATGAGAGCCATCTGAACTTCATGCAATTTGGATTAAAAAAAAGGCAAATTGGCTTTAGGATCCAAAGCTCTCTGATGCCTAATTGATAAATGTCCCAAACACATTGACATCTTAGATTTACAGTGTAAGAAAAGCCGTAAAGAACAAATACATCAACGACTGCTAAAAGAAATGCAGAAAACAGAAAGGCAAAGGAAAATGAAAACAAGGAATTGAAGAAGTTAATTCTGTCAGCATGTGCCAAACATGCACAAATGGCATTAAAAGTCTGTCAATATAATAGATACTTTAGCAGAGTTTGTGCAGGCTTTCGTGACAGCAGTGTAAGAGGCAATGGCACAAAATAAATATAAGCAGTGACCTTTTCAACCCTTCATGTAGTGGAGTTGTTCAGACGAGCTCAACAGAACTGCCAAGAGCATGTTGTTTTACAAGGACCGAGTCGTGGGTGAGTTGGTATTGCATTGCGAATGGCATTTTTCCGAGAAAAGAAAACAAAAAAAGAAAGGGAAGAAGGCACAGACAGGTGCAGAAACACAAACATAGAAAAAGGCACAAACAGGCTGCACCTGTCTGTGCCTTCTTCCCTTCTTGTTCGTATTCTTCGCACAAAATGCCATTCACAATGCTATGTTTACGTAGAGTGCTTCAAAGAGACGTTAACAAGAAAAATATTGTTCTATGTAATTAAATTAGCTTCTGTCAATTCTTACAAACACTCACAGAAATTATCACTTTCGCAGCTGTGGCAATTCCAGAAAAAAAAAGCAACGACAATGTACTCCTTTATTCTCTACAAAAAAAAACTTTTAAGTAGGAACGCAATTGACGTTCACGCACATACTCATGGTGTCAGAAGGTGCTAAGAGTGATTTGACTGCACTAAACAATAATGTTCAAAAAGCTATTTATATAGTCAGAAGGGGCCTGGTCAGTCAGAAAAGATACAACAAAAAACCAGTGGCACTACCACCTCAAAGTTTTCAATTCAAAGATGTCATGGTTTTTGATGGCACCTGCTCATGCCTAGTCAATTTTTTCTATGACTACGATAATATTTTATCCCAACAAAAGATAAATATTCAACTAAGCAATACTCAAGAATTTTCGCTAAGCCACAGCAGCGCAGACAGAAAAAAAATTTATTTGTAATGCATGATATCACTCATTTACTGATGCTACAGATTCACTGTAAAATTTAAGACGATGTAAAGCTACATCAGTAATAAAAGTAAAGATACCTCATCAGTCTTAATACATTGAGAGCTCCTTTTTGTATGTCCCTTTAATATTTGGCTACATTTAGTGAAACACCCTCCAAAAGTCTTTTAAAGGTCTTAGCACCTCACTCTCCTTTCAACCTAGTATGTCCCAAATCACAGGTTATTTTTTTCCTTCAGCAGCTATTCCTATACTCCATCTCAGAACTTCCCTTAAGCACTGCGAAGGCTATAGGGCTCCTTGGCCAACATTAAAGGCGGAAATCCCTAACAATGTATTCATTCGCACCACGTCGTCTGCTCAGCAGCTCCCTGACGTCTGCGCGCATGCATTAGGCGAGTAAAGCGAGCAGACGGTAATGTTGGAAGAAACAAGAACATGGCTGCACTTATCAACAGTGGTGCCCTCCACCTCGAA